CATGCAGATTTTTGTAAGCAGCGTACTAGCATGTTTTGTTAAGCGTTTTCTTCCGACGATGAAGAACGCCTCATGATGGACGTGTTTCGTGGTTACAACTCTCTAATTCAGGTGAGCCTTTAGACGATGGTTCTATAGAGGATACTCAGTCACCTTCTCATGAGATTACTGTAAAATACAGCATTTATAGCCGGTTAAAAACATCAGTGACACTCCGATCATCGTGAAAATCGCACTGCAACTTGTTCTACTCATCAATGTGGTAGGTAAAATTGGATTTTTTTTCGAGTTGCCACGTTCTACTTCACCAAACAAATTGCCAACTTCTCCGAGCGATTGGGAACGAGAGACTTACTTAGTTTGTTTTCTGAGAGCTTTTCCCATGGCTCTATGCAATTTCGCCATTTTATAGTTTATGAAGTGAGCGTGCAGCTTTTTCTTTCAAGTAGCCAGAACAATAGACCTCTGCGAATAAACATGAAATCTCAAATAGGCTTTAATGTGTTGAAAAACCATGAAGCGCTCGAATTATTCAACGTCGTCCTCTGAAAGCCCATCATATGCTTCTATTACTTCAATTTGATAGAGTCCTACTTTGCAGTACACAAGAATCCACCTACACTGCAGGAATAATTCATTCTTTTCATTCTCTCACAAGTTCTGCTTTGATTTCCAATGAATGGATACGGTATAGGAGTCGGAATCGTCTTGCAAAATATAGCGTCCGCTATTTCCACTGCACTTTTCTCTCGTCTATTCAAGCAGTACCGAAATTCTCAAAGAAATCCAGTGCATTTTGTTAACTCCATTCACTATGTACCCTGCTTGATAACTGTTGTTGTTTGGTTTGTTGTTTGTCAGCTTGCTTGTTTTCAGGATGAAAAAGATCAAGTAATGCATACAAACGTGTGGTTAACGCTGGTACGTCATTTAATTCTAATATTCATGATTTTTTTTACAGATTTTCTGGATTTTCCGGATTTTCTTACAGACCACAGTTTAGAAATGGCACGATTTTCAAATGCGTTGGAATCCAGTGAAGTACGGGGAAATCCGACAAATCCGAGTCCAACCGGACAAAGTATGGCTACCTGATATCGTCCTTTTCAACAAGTGTGTCCTTTATACCTACTCATATATCTTTTTATCCGAAAATGTTTATTTGAGTCCCGGTAGGTACGGTAAGAGGAGAAACCATCCCAGTCTTCATCACCCAAGAAGACTTAATTCTAAAAATCATCCCTTCAAGCGGTACAATCGTGCCATGTAATCTCAGTGTAATATGACGTAAAAAGGAGATAAGTCCTTTCTAATAGTTATGTGCCATGATAAGGCCCCTACTTTTTGTCCATGGAAAACCTGCTGTTTATTGACTCAGCTGTTGTTTGTTACAGTTATTTTTTCCAATTTCATCTATCTACTTCTACTTCAGCGCTGATGGTAATTACGAGGTATCATTCATGTGCAATGTTGTTATAAATCATCTTGGCGATATGTTATGGGTACCGCCGGCAATCTACAAGAGCTCATGCATCATAGGTAATACAGAACTTTTCGAAATACCAGAAAATCGAATAGAATTTCTTCCAGTCGGCATTGTAAGAAATTTAGAAGTCTTCATTCAATCAATAAATAAAAAAGAGCTTTCTATAACTTTTCCAGAGCTTTTTCGGCAAGTTTGATCGTAGGGCACTCAAAACCCCCATATTACAGATGTAGAATTCTTCCCCTTCGACGAACAAGTGTGTACGTTGGTGTTTGGATCGTGGACGGTAAGTATTTTTGATGATCAGAGTGAACGTATCAACGACGTGCTGATTAATCCTTTTGCAGTACAACGAAAACGAAATCAAACTCGAATTTGAACAAGCTGAGTGGGTGGATCTGTCAGAATATGCACCGTCTTCTATCTGGGATGTGATGGACGCTCCTGCATCGTTGGTTAACAAACGGAGTCGAATAGAATTCCAAGTGAGAATTAGGTTAGTGTGAATTCAACCTCAAATCTAGTCGTCCCCTGACAGTGGAAGGGTCATGGGGTCGTAAACTCAAAGGCGCAGTTCATGATAAATTGATATCTGAGATTTTTCCATGAGATAAACATGTGATCTCTAAGAATAACCCAAGGGAAAAGCGGCCGGGTAGAAAAACAGCGTGGATGGAGCGTAATAAAGCCCCAAAACCAGCTTGGACGACACACACAGCCATTGGTGGACTTCTAGGGCGATATAGAGGCTATAGAGATTGCACGCGTTGCACGCAAGCAGCTTACTGTAGCCACCTGTACGCAGTGGCTTCCAAATTTGGAGAACTCGTCCAAATACCCTTCCACGCAACATTTGTCGTCACACTCTCGTCCAACTCGAACTTTTTTTATTTCTTGTATGTCTCAAAATGAAACGATTTTCGCCTTTTCTTCACCCATTTTCCGCTATCCTGGACTATGACTCCCACTCATTCTTTTAGAACCAGATACCCCAAAATTACCAAGAACTGTGCCTTCAATATAAGAAAGCTTATCTCAAAAGATTATCCAAAGAGTCGTAAACAAAAGCGTGAAGTGTTCTACTGTCACACTTAAATTTCTGTTTTGCAGAAGGAAAACACTCTTCTATACCGTCGTGCTCATCATCCCTACTGTGCTAATGGCTTTTCTCAGTATGGCAGTGTTCTTTCTTCCAACAGATTCGGGTAAGTTGCCGAAAAAACTATTCAGTTCATTTAAATGAACTCGAATAGTCCGGACTCTGAACTTTTCGTCTCGCGAAGCAACGACAATTGCATGTGCCCCTTCTCTAATCTCGGCCCTTCCGAAACACGAGGGCCATGAGGTCTTAATGTACATGTGTTTCTTGGAATAAGGGGAAAAGATGGCAGCAAAATTCCTCTAATCAGCAAACTGAGCAAATGATGGATCTATGATGGAATGTTGCTTTAATTACTTGCGATGTTTGACCTTTTGACCCGCCTCTACAGAGAGTTCTTTCAGTGAAATACTTGGGTGGTTCGTAGCCGATAACAAACCCCCAACCCCC